ATGAGCACTTTTATAAGTCTTAATTTTCATCTTGGGGATATACTTAAAGTATGTATGTCTGAAAAGATCTATGGGTCCAGTGTCATTTTACTTACTTTTCTTATCAGTCGCACAAACTGATCCTGCTAAAGGCCAGGCAGGCCATGTTACTGAGAGGACACTCTTGGAGAGAAATGCCTGGGCAGGAAGCGTGTACATGTGGGGAGTGCAGCTACCCAACACCAGTCCTTGCCAGGCAGCGACAACCCCACTGTCACCCGGTCTTCCTATTTTTCAAGAAAAGGCATATTGATTTTTATGTTAAATCCTAGAGTTTTTCAGCATGGCTAACTAAGTTTTTCAAAAACTATGTGGGTCACTGGATGTAGTGGTTCTAGCCTGTAATTCCAGCAACTCAAGAGGCTGATTGGAAGGATTCCCTGAGGCCAAGAATTTAAGACCAACCTGGACAACATGGTGAGACTCACCTTCCCCACCCCCACTGCCTGTGTCTAGAAATAAAAAAGTTAGCTGGGTGTAGTAGCACATACTTGTAGTCCCAGCTACTTTAGAGGCTGAGGCTAGAGGATCACTCAAGCTCAAGAGTTCCAGGCTGCAAGGAGCTATGATCGTACCACTGCACTCCAATCTGGGTAACAGAGTGAGATCCCATCTCTTTAAAAAATAAAAATGAAATGAAGAAATAAAAAACCAGGTGAGTCAGACAAAACCTATGGAGATGAGATTTGCCATGTGGCCTGTAGTGGGTCCCCTCTGGTCTACAGATTTAGAACACATTTCTTTGTTGTGCTTCAGGTACGTGGAATGTGGCTTTTAGCCGTAGCACTTTCCGAGGTCATCCAAGGAGCTGAATGACAAGCTCTGAAAGTGTTTCTGAGGTAGAGAGCTCTGTTAAGATTAGAAAGGCTGGTACTAGGGTCTTAGAAACTTTAAATTGTGTCTTCCATAAGTCGCACCATTTTTTTCAAATTGCATTTGCAGATTTTTATTCTTCGTTTTAGCGGTCGCAGGGCTATTAGATGATAAAACTTCTTGCGGGCATAAAACTCTGCCTCTGCCTCTTTCTGCCTGAAATTCCCATTTCTCCCTCTGTTCATGTCTCCAGAGTTCACTTCTATCCATCAGGACCCAGCAAATGTCACTTCCTCCGGCAGGGAGTTTCTGAGCCTCTTCCCCCTGTCTCCCTCACTCTTCTGAACTCCCATCGCCTACTCCCTGCATGCCGGGTCTTGCATATTCCTTGGGCATCTTTGTGTTGCAGTGTTTCACAAACACATCTCATTTCCCCTGCTGCCCTGCAAGCCTTTGAGGGCATAATTTTCATTTCTCTTATGGCACTGGGTTTTAGTATCAGCCAGTTAGGACTGGTTCTGGCTGGTTGGTTAAAAACTACCCGATAGACAAGGTGCGTCCTTGAGACAAGGCAGGAAGGAGACCTTGCAGTGTTTTACTCTCTGTGCCTTTTCAATTTGGTATCATATGAATGTATTGCTTATTAACAAAGTAAGATATAAAATACATATGGATTCTGGGGTCTCATTCAGCTGTTCTAAACAGAATCTGCAATATAAAATGTACTGTGGGGTCCTTCAGAGCCCTTTATGGTCTGGTCTGACCTGGGCCTTCTCATTTAGATACATGCGGTGCCTTGCCACATGCCTGGCACTGCCTGCCACATGACTGTCATGGACACTGGGGAGGGCAGTGCACACTGCTCCTGCCACCACTTAGACCCCCCTCAGTACTCCCTTGGACCATTTTTGGGTTTTCTTGCCCATAGTGTTCATTCTGCTTAGAATGTCCTTCTCACACCCATGTTTTATTTACTGATTGATGCCAAGCAATCCAGGGCTCCCATAAATAGCAAATTGTCACTTAATCTTCTAGCATTTTCTGTTTACCTCCAGTGTAAGGCTTACTATCATAGATTCCAATTATTAGTTGACAGTTCCCTTTCTTCCCCCAGACTCTGAGTTCCTTGAGAGCAGACGCTTGCCTTATTCCCTTCCATATCTCCAGGCCCCAAGGCGTCACATCTGACCATGTTAGGTATTAACATATTGGCTGGATAAAGTTAATCCATGGATGATGTTTGCAGATGTGTATGTCAAAAAAGCAAATCAAGATTTTCCTAGTAATTATGATTTTAAAAGGATTTCTGCCACACAAAGGTAGATTTTCCTCTGAAAGCTATCATACTTGGATTTTGCAAAGTTAGGTGAATTTTTTTTTTTTGGAAAGCAGGATTTATTAAGAGGACAGAAAAACTCCCATAGTGGGAGGGGACCCAAAGGGGTTGCCCAGGTGAATGTTTAATGACATATATAATATAATGATGCTTCTGATTGTCTATGTTATTCTAACTATCAGTATGACTAAGATATTTTTCAGTGGTAGGAGTTGACCTTTTGCTAACCATCCTAACTGAACAATCTGAGAGACAAATCAGAGAATCCCACAGAAGTGGGCGGGACTTCATGTATTATAAATCTGAGTCAGGACACCCTAGAGTGTTTATTAACCTGATGTGAAATACTGTATTCCCCAAATGGAAGCAGAGCCTGGTGGGAGGTTTAAAATGCTGTGGAGTGTTTTGGAAAAGCCGAGCTTTGAGTTGGAAAGACAGAATAAACGATGTCAGCAGAGACTGAAGCCAAGGTGGAAGCCACTTTTTGAATCACATAGCATGTGTCTTGTCAGATCTAAGACTGTCCAGTCAGAATGGATTAATGTATAGGCTTCAGAGATGCCAAACGGTAAAAATATATGAGTCAGGGGAGACAGTAGATCCTACAGGGGCCCAGAGCAGAGAGACCTCAGGAAGGCAAAAGAAACATCAGCAAAGTATGTCACTGATCGGTAACCCAATGAAGCACAGATGTCTTCACTCCTTCACTCTCCTGCTCTTCGGTGACCCTTTCTTCCTTCGGGGGCACAAAGGAAGCCATAAAGGTTTCATTTCATTTCATTCTAATTTTATTTATAGAAATAATCCCCCACACTTCTAGAAAAACATTCATGGAATGGAAGACTATAGTTAAAGACAAATAAACAAAAGTAGAAGAAATAATGTTAAGAAAGTAAGACAATAGCTATACTAGAAACCCAGGCTGAGAATGGCTACAACAATTAATGATACAAATTAGTTCTGAGCTTTTTTGTCTTGAGAATTAAAACAGAAACATGGTGTTCTCGTTATCTGAATTGAAGAAAATTTGTTAGTAGAAAGGTACTTTTTTCCTGTGGCTGAATGAGATAAAAGAAATTATCAAATGGGTCCTCGTAGAAAGGACACGGAATAACGTAATGGGCACAGCTTAGAATTGCAGCTTTACAAAAAGGTAAAGAGAGGTTCTTTGTGTGACCATCTGGTCTTTCCAAGTGAATAAATGCCACCAACTAAATGTTAGACTCTAGTGCTAGGAAAACATTGTCACAGAGAATTAAAGAAGTATTATCAAGCTGTGTGGTTTTCTGGATATGTCACTTGATACAGGGGAGCACAGAGAGACTGGGTGAATAGCTGGTTAGTATATCCCATAGACCGACTTTTTTTGTGTTTTTTTGAGTTTTGTTTTGTTTTGTTTGAGTTGACTTCTCACTCTGTCGCCTAGGCTAGAGTGCAGTGGCACTCTCACGGCCACAGGAGCCTCAACCTGCAGGGCTTAGATGATCCTTCCACCTCAGCCTTCTAAGTAGCTGGAACTACAGGCATGCACCACCATGCCTGGCTAATTTTTTGATTTATTGTAGAGATGAGATCTCACCAAGTTGCCCAGGTTGGTCTCGAACCCGTCGGCTCAGGCAATCCTCTCGCCTCAGCCTCCCAAAGTGCTGGGATTATAGCCTTAAGCCACTACGCCTGGCCCCTTTTTTGTTTTATTTTTAACTTCGGGGTTGATCTATTAGCGGGTAGTGAAATTAGTGAGTTGCCATTAGCTTTTTTTTTTTTAATGAAAGACACTGGAACAGAATAGAATGTATCACACCTAGCAAGGGTAATTGTTAATTTCATTTGTGCCTTTGGTCACTGTGTACCATATATTTCTTACCGTGGGTAAGTGTGAAGCTGCCGCTTTGACTGTCCCTCAGTAGAATATCAGTAAGTTTTGACCATCCAGGCTCATGGTACAGAACTTATAGAGAATAACTAGAACCGCATATATCCAGGGCATATATAGAGAATAAAGTGAGGAAGAACAGAGAAGGAGCCCTCAGACCAGAACAAGAGCCACTCTGCCTTTACATCGTGCTAATTTGGGAACTGACTAGATTTCATTTCTGTAGACTTAGAAAAACAAACTTTCCTAGCTTCGTGTTTGGTTTCCTTTTTGTTTGCCTTCAGTGCCCGGCAGATTTCTCTGAAAACTCTAGTCTGCTTTGTCTCTAATAAAGGGAAAATAAAGGATGTGCTGGTTCCCCACAAGGGCCAACAACTGGGGGAGGCAAAGTGCCCCTGGTGGTCAGGCTCTGTTGAGAGACCCCTCTGAGCCACAAACTAGGAATGGCTCCTTCAGTTCTTGCTTCTTGCCCAAGCGGGCATTATCTGTGCATGTTGGTATCACTTAGGGAACACTCTTTTTAAAAAATCATTTCCTGCTCCAGGGATTGTGCTTGGGTCAAATCATCAGGGTTATCTTTGGAAACAGGATCATGGCATTGCTCAGCTCTAGGAGTTCCATGCAGCAGCCTTGAGTGACAATGAGACCCTTCACATTTGGAAAAACAAAAAACCCCTCCCCTCTCAAATTTGGCCACGTATATATAGCTTCAACTTTGGAGAAAAGAGGAAGGAGTTCTGGGAGGATTTCCAACGATAACAACTGTTAGCAATGGCATGAGAAACAGGCTGGGGCAAGAAAAAGATTTAGCTTCTAATGTTAACTCCAAGTCTTGGGCAAATCAACAGAAGGAGATAAAAACCTAAAGGGGTAAATAGTCTAGAAATAAAGAAGCCATGTATGGCAGGGTCTCTGACCAATTCTCTTCTTTGATTTCAGATGACAGTCATGTCCCTTTCCAGGGACCTCAAGGACGACTTTCACAGTGACACGGTGCTCTCCATCTTAAATGAGCAGCGCATTCGGGGCATTTTATGCGATGTCACTATCATTGTGGAAGATACCAAATTTAAGGCCCACAGCAATGTCCTGGCAGCCTCAAGCCTTTATTTCAAAAATATCTTTTGGAGCCATACAATCTGTATTTCCAGCCACGTCCTGGAGCTGGACGATCTCAAAGCTGAAGTGTTTACAGAAATACTTAATTATATCTACAGCTCCACAGTTGTCGTCAAGAGGCAGGAAACTGTCACTGATCTTGCAGCTGCTGGAAAAAAGCTGGGAATATCATTCTTGGAAGATCTCACCGATCGCAACTTCCCGAATTCCCCCGGTCCCTACGTCTTTTGCATTACTGAAAAGGGAGTGGTTAAAGAAGAAAAAAATGAAAAAAGGCATGAAGAACCAGCCATCACTAATGGGCCAAGGATCACAAATGCGTTTTCCATCATTGAAACAGAAAATAGTAATAGCATGTTTTCTCCACTGGACTTGAGGGCCAGTTTCAAAAAGGTCTCTGACTCCATGAGAACAGCAGGCCTTTGCCTGGAGAGGACAGACGTGTGTCACGAGGCAGAGCCTGTCCGCACGCTCGCTGAACACTCGTATGCTGTTTCCTCCGCAGCCGAGGCTTACCGAAGTCAGCCTGCATGTGAGCATGACAGCAGTTCACCTGGCAAAACAGGTAAAGAAAATGGCGAGGTTCTTGCAGCAAAACCGAAAGCATGCCGAAAGCCAAAGACATTCTCCATCCCTCAGGATTCTGATTCAACTGCAGAAAACGTACCACCCCCTCCAGTCACCAACTTAGAGATGAATCAGGAAAGAAGTCCACAGCCAGCTGCAAATCTTTCTCGTTCAAAATCTCCCAACAAGGAAGGCGATGTCCATTTTCCTAGGGAAGATGAAAACCAATCCTCTGACGTGTCCGGGCCGCCCGCCGCAGAAGTTCCACCCCTGGTGTACAACTGTAGCTGCTGTTCCAAATCCTTTGACAGCAGCACTCTGCTCAGTGCCCACATGCAGCTTCACAAGCCAACGCAGGAGCCTTTAGTGTGCAAGTATTGCAACAAACAGTTCACCACCCTGAACAGATTGGATCGACATGAACAGATCTGTATGAGGTCGAGCCACATGCCCATTCCTGGAGGAAACCAGCGCTTTTTAGAGAACTACCCGACCATTGGACAGAATGGAAGTTCATTCCCAGGTCCAGAACCTTTATTATCTGAAAATAGGATTGGTGAGTTTTCCAGTACTGGAAGTACTCTGCCAGACACGGACCACATGGTTAAGTTTGTCAATGGGCAGATGCTCTACAGTTGCGTCGTGTGCAAACGTAGTTATGTGACTTTATCCAGCCTCCGAAGACATGCAAACGTTCACTCGTGGAGAAGAACGTATCCTTGCCATTACTGCAACAAAGTGTTTGCATTGGCTGAGTACAGGACAAGACATGAAATTTGGCATACGGGAGAGAGGCGGTATCAGTGCATTTTCTGCCTTGAAACGTTCATGACCTATTATATACTCAAAAACCATCAGAAGTCTTTCCACGCCATCGATCATAGGCTTTCCATCAGCAAAAAAACAGCAAATGGAGGCTTGAAGCCTAGTGTCTACCCATATAAACTCTACAGGCTGCTGCCTATGAAATGCAAGAGAGCGCCTTATAAGAGCTACCGAAATTCTTCCTATGACAGTGCTCGAGAAGGCAGTCAAATAAATGAGTCTGCACCTGGTACCTACGTTGTTCAGAATGCACACAGCTCCGAGTTACCTACCCTGAGTTTCCAGCAGAGTGTAAATAGCTTGACCAATGGTCCAGCCATCCCTTTGGAAACATCTGCGCGTCAGGACAGACCCACTTCTGCCAATGTTCAAACTGCAGAGGGCACCAAGTGGGGAGAAGAGACGTTGAAAGTTGATCTTGACAATAACTTTTATTCCGCTGAGGTGTCTGTGTCTTCCACTGAAAATGCTGTCAGTTCTGACCTCCAGGCAAGGGATGGGCCTGCCTTGTCTTTGAGTAACGGCGGTGAGAAGGCGGCCTCCGTGATCAGCTACGGTGGCCCTGCGCCCTCGGTCATCGTGCACAGCAGCCAGTTTTCCTCGGTGATCATGCACAGCAATGCCGTTGCTGCCATGACCAGCGTCAGCCACAGAGCCCTCTCGGACCCGGCCGTCAGTCAGCCCCTGAAGGATGACAGTAAACCCGAGCCAGATAAAGTGGGCAGATTCTCAAGCAGACCCAAAAGCATTAAGGAGAAAAAGAAAACGATACTGCATAACTGGGGAGAAATACCGGAGGAGTCAAAATACGTCGCTGAGTCCGGAGGGTCGCTGAGCAAAGCCACAAACGTGGCTGAAGAAACCAGTAAAATTGAAACCTACATTGCGAAGCCTGCCCTGCCTGGAACCTCCACCAACAGCAACGTCGCACCCCTTTGCCAAATCACGGTGAAAATTGGGAACGAAGCCATCGTGAAAAGGCACATCCTAGGATCTAAATTGTTCTATAAGAGAGGGAGAAGACCCAGTTATCAAATGCAGGAGGAGACGCTGCCGCAGGAGAGTGACCCGGAGCCCAACAGAGACAGCCCACTCGGGCTCTGCCAAGCCGAGTGCGTGGAAATGAGCGAAGTGTTCGATGAGGCGAGTGACCAGGATACCACTGACAAACCATGGCGCCCGTACTACAACTACAAACCCAAAAAGAAATCCAGACAGCTGAGAAAAATGAGGAAGGTCCACTGGAGGAAAGAGCATGGAAATAGGAGCCCAAGCAATAAGTGTAGATACCCAGCAGAACTGGATTGTGCTGTGGGGAAGGCTCCACCGGAGAAGGCCTTCGAGGAAGAAGAAAATAAAGAGATGCCCAAGCTGCAGTGTGAACTCTGTGACGGAGACAAAGCCTCAGGGGCCGGGAACCCGGGGAGGCCCCACCGGCATCTCACGTCTAGGCCTTATGCCTGCGAGCTCTGTGCCAAGCAGTTCCAGAGCCCCTCCACGCTCAAAATGCACATGAGATGTCACACCGGGGAAAAGCCGTACCCATGCAAGACCTGCGGGCGGTGCTTTTCCGTGCAAGGAAACTTGCAGAAACACGAGCGCATCCACCTGGGCCTGAAAGAGTTCATCTGCCAGTACTGCAACAAGGCCTTCACCTTGAATGAGACCCTCAAGATCCACGAAAGAATCCATACCGGAGAAAAGCGTTACCACTGTCAGTTCTGCTTTCAGAGTTTTTTGTATCTCTCCACAAAGAGAAATCATGAGCAGAGGCATATTCGAGAGCACAACGGGAAGGGCTATGCCTGCTTCCAGTGCCCTAAAATTTGCAAAACAGCTGCTGCCCTTGGAATGCACCAGAAGAAGCACTTATTCAAAAGCCCAAGTCAGCAGGATAAAATAGGTGACACGTGCCACGAACACTCAGATCCCTTGGAGAATCAACACTTCATTGGCTCAGAAGACAGTGACCAAAAGGATCATGTACAAACCAGTGCTGGAAATATCCTTTGAGGGGCAATAGTTAGAAAAATCTTCAGAAATAGAAGTAGGTTTATTTTTTTTTTAAGTTTCTTTTTAAGTTTTGTTTTGTTCGCCTAACAGTCTTGAAGGAGTGAAAAAAAATCTCATCAGTGAAAATTCCAGAAAAAGGACCCTCATATGTACTTTGGGTTTTTAGCATTAATTTTATGCAATGTGCACAAAAACAAAATAGCTGAATTCTCCCATATTTCAAGAATCTTGTGAAAGTTAATGAAGTTCTTAGCTGTGGTATTTCTACCAGTGAGAAAAGGAGTTTAATTTTAGCCTAATTTAAAACTTTCTAGTAAATGCTAGTAGAAACTGGCTGCTGAGCTGTCTTTAGTCACTGGAGAAAATAAGGGTCAGCTGTCCTGAAGATATAGCCTCTTCATAAATATGTTAAATGGTAAATGAACTATGTCAGTCTTTATTCCCATCTGGCTTCTGCACTATTAAAATGTGTTTAAATTCCTGGATACATATGAAATACTTAACAATGTGACTGAAAATATGTGTGTGATGAGTAGTCTACAGTAGGATATTCATACATTATCTAGAACTACTTTTCTGCAACACAAACCTTGTAAAATACATGTATAAACCGCTATAACTTTTAACTGTCTGTGTCTCCTGTAGAGAATTATGATGAGCAATAGATCTGCAAGTAACTAGGACTGATACAAAAATCAGTAGAAAGCATTTTGAGCCTGACTTAAGAGCATGTGAATGCTTTTCGGTGGAATGCTGTTCTTTTGACGTTATGTCTGAGCTGTTATTAGAACTGGTCTTCTCAAGTCACAGAAAAACACAGGTCATGCCTTACCTGTGGAGGAGAGCCCTCCCAGAATTTACCTGTGATTACCTGTGCTGCATTGTACTTTGCAGTGGCCTCGCCTCAGAGAATGAAGAGGCTCAAACTCTTCTGAAACTCTCTGCGGTCTTCCGGCTGTCACAAGGCCATGGATGTGGGGGTCTATTCCGGACAGACTTTTTTAAGCCTTCAGGTAAAACCTGACACCTCCCGTTCCACTGAATGTCCAAGAAATTGAGTGTTAAGGCACACGTGTGCTAGTGAACTTGCTCGTGAAATTGAAAGCCCAGTCCCTACTATTTTGAGCCTTCTTGGAGATTATGCAGCCCACAAGTACAGAATAGTATGAAACAAAGCAGAACCCCACCCGTTAGTGACTTGAGTGGACACGAGGAAGTGATGACTTTCCTTGCCTAAAAGAGTAACTTTGTCTTTGGGGGGTGGGGAGTGACAAGATTCCATCCCTTACTTACATGACTCAAATATATCCACAAAGCTAGATCTTTTGTCTTTATATTTGCAGACATCTAGACCCCTTGCTAAAAACCCACTGAAGTTTTTTAAGGCTCTTTTATACTGACCCACACCATCAGCATTGCCTGCAAATCTAGTTGCTCTGCAGGATATTCCGTCACGTGGACTAGGTTCCTGGAAAGCTGGAACTCATGATTCTTACTTCTTCAACTGCCAGAATAGAAGGGAGAGAGAAACGTCTACCCTTTGGTCACCAGACTCCGGAACCCAATTTTAGAGTGACCTGCAGCCATTCATGTTCATTGGAACAGATGGAAACCAAGGTTATCCCAGGTTGGAAGGCTGTCATTATGAAGAAGTAGCTCCGAGAATTTCCGTTTCTCTCTACAAGTGTTGTGGTGTCCTGATGATGAAGACTTAGTATGGATTTGGGTGGGCAAGAAAGCACTTAAACACCCAGGAAAGGACACAACTAAAGTTGATCTTTTTCTACTGTAGTTCTTTGCTGTTAAGTAGCCCCAATATTGTATCTGCATTTATCTTTTGTTCATCTACTTTCACTTACATGCAGTATTATATAGTAGAAGAAAATGCAAGCAAATTCAACTTTATTTTCTACATTGTATATATGTATACCCTACACTATCCGTTTTGGGTTTTGTTAAACAGTCACAAAGGGCTTATGAAAATCATTTTTGAATTAATTAGAATATCGAATAAGCAATCCTGTGATTCACTAATTTGTTTTATCAGGTAGGAGTATGAACCAAGGAGAATTACTGTGTATTCTAGTCATTTTGATTTGAGTTAACTCCAAATATAAAATTCTTACCTGTGGTGATGTCCCCCAGCCCTTACATGTGGATATTTTTTAAGTGGACTTGTATGCTGATAATTCTAGACCAAAGTAAATATGGCAGAATATTTATACATGAAAAATAATTTTGCAAATATTTTCTATAATTGTATTATTCATTTAAAATGTTGATAGCTTGTGTTAGTTTCAGGGAGGGGTGTATATTTTGATAAAAAAATACTTGACTTTGTAATTCTGTATATTCTATACAATTTATAGCAGAGCCGTTTTAAGACAGCCTTGTCACATTTTATTGTTAATTGTGAAAATTTTATTATGAGTGATGTTTAAGTATGCATTGAGTACATAATGACCAACTAGAATTAAAGTAAGTGTAAACAGTGAACATACTGTATGCTGTACAAGATATATTGTAATTTGCTGTTTTAGCATCTGTATTTTGGTTAGAAGATATTATTAAATGCAGATGTTAAGGACTGGAAAAGTCTAATTTTATTTTCAGAAATAATGGATATAAATTTGGTTTTGCTTGATTAAAATAGCTTATTCCTACATTAAGTCTCTTTTTAAATGTTTTAATGTTATTCCTATTGTGCAACTGTTTCATCTGAGTCACAGCTTTGTTTCACTAATTATTCATCCAATATATTTCTGTTTCCTTACTTGTTTACATTCCATGATACCTTCCATGAGTCCATGTGCTTAGGACTCAAATGGATTGTGAATTTAAAAAAAAAAAAAAAAAAAAAAGGCAGAATAAGAGAGAGTGAAGTGTTCTGGTAATTGAGTATTTGGGATAGGCCTGTGCTTATAATGATGAATCAGAGAATGAAATGCTCTCCTGGAAGGAGTCTGCTCTACTCATCCACAGAAAACAAATGCTATTACCTGAGTATCAGCTATTGGGCAACATCTGTATATAGGCTACTTGTGTAACACCCCCATACACACCAGAAGCGGACCTCCTCATCTACATTTTATGGGGGAGAAGGGCAGGAAAAAAGGAATTATCTTTCGGAGGGCAGGCCCCTTCAGTACATACAGGCTTCTCCTGCCAGGTAAATGATACAGAAACCCATCAGCATCAGTGTATCAGCTAGTGTTGTGAGAGGCTGCCTTTGGCTTCAGTGAATTTTTTTGGAGATTCTTTCAACACGTTTGCCCATTTCATGATGAGTGATTTATGAGCTCTCCTGCTCACACTGCGCTGAGTGCTCAGCAGTTTTTGACCAAAAACAGCATGACCCCCATGGCCCACCCTCCCTATTCACCAGATCCCCATCCCCCAGCAACTTTTTTTTCCTTTTTGGATGAAAAAAGTTCTCACAGGGAAATGTTTTGCCAATGTGGAAGAGGTAAAACAAAACAAAACAAAATGGCAGAAGCACTAAAAGGCATCAAAATTGACGAGTTCAAAAACAGTTTTGAGCAATGGAAAAAAATCTTGATAGTTGTATTGCATCAAACAGTACTTTGAAGATAACTGAAGTTTAACATGTATGTATAAATATACAATTTTTATCAATAAACTGCAGGTTTGGGGGGTATCCCATTGTATACTGACTTTGAGAACGTCCCACAGCCAGTTAGGGCCAGGATTCTAACCCGGATCTGTCTGACCAAAGCCCATTTTTTGTTCCTTCTCAACACCTTAGAGAAAAATGTTTAATAGAAACTGAACAGATTATGAGAGAAAGAGACATGACAAAGTAAGGCAACTTGAGGGCAGTGAGAGTGACTGCTGGGTGCCAGGCTTGAAGAGCCTGGATTAGGCTCAGCTGCCCCTGACTGGGGCTTCCCTTCTGTCTTAGGATATTGCCCTAGGAAATCAGTTAAGAGCTTGTGCACTTTTTAAAAAAGAATATGGAGTGAAATTATAATCTAATGCTGTTAAAAGCTAGTAGTTTTTCACATAAGGAAAAAAAGATCTTCCATCGTCACAGACTGTACTCCTAGCCTTAGTGACTCATCTTGCAAATGCATGCAATTAGTGCCCGTGGGTGATGTGAGGGGGCATGTTGGTGGTTCAGGCAGCACAATCCATCCCAGCACAGGAAAAATCACTCGAACTGCCAGGCCTGCCAGTGGCCAACCCGTAGCATCAATTTTGTTATTTGAAGGGCAATCCAAACCACATTCACCAGATATTTGGTAACTGTTATCTGCTCTAAGTGACTTCATTATCTAGCATAACAGATTTAATATTAAAATAATTTGTAACAAGAAAGTAACTGAATCAAAAGCATAAAAATAAATCATGCAAGATGTTTGTACGTACTGTTTACTTTGTACTATAAATAGTACATACTCTTTGTACCTATTGTTTGCTTTGGGTCTTTGCATTCCTATTGCTCTTTTCTCATCACTGGTTAATTGGTTTGGTTTCACTTCACTTTCTTGAGAACTCTTCACCCTTGCCTTCCCCAAATCCTGACTTTTTAATTTCCTATCTGAAGAGGCCTCTGCCCTAGTTTGCACCTCCTGACCCCTGTTCTTTAGGCAAGATGGTCAGCGAGCAAGAGAGTTGGCCCGGTGTGCAATTTTTTTTTTCTTTTTTTTTTGAGTTGGAGTCTCACTCTGTCACCCAG